GGGGGGGAGGATGTCCAATGTCGATAGGTGCATTGTTAGTGCTTACCTTGAAAACATTTCAGGAGTCGAAATTTGGACTGAACTTAGTTGAATTTGAAGCGAGGCGGAAAATGCACTGGAAATAAGCCCTGCGTAGTGCTCTTATCCAGTTCTACAGACCGGCGCCAAGCAAAATTTATAATTGTATTTTAATGGACCACTAGACAAGGTACGAAGTTAAGCATTCTGATACATGTTTCCTAACCAAAATTTCACGTAGAACACGATTTGCGTAACAAAAATTACTGAAAACCACTCCGAACGCATTTAATGTTTCTTGACGCGTGAATTCAAGCCTTCCGCTCGTGAAAACTCAATAGTGCACATGAGTCAAATCGCACACTAAACTTTACCATAACAATCTCTGCGATATGAAAATCTGGAAACCTTAATCTTGACGCTTTGGCTCAGTTATACATGTGAAATTGTTTACACTTTGAACGATAAAGGGTGGGAATGGAGCAATTTACGTTAGAGAAGCCTGCCAAAACTGTTGTGAGGAACGACTTGACTCACGTAGAGAATTGCGTTTCTCGTGACCGGAAAATTCAAAATTTTCGTAACCAATGTAAAATAAAAACGTTATTATCTTAGTTAAAAGTTGATCTCAGTAATTTTCGATGCAAGAATCGAGTTCTAAGTGAAATTCCAATTAAGAGACATGTATCAAATTGCTCAAATCCGTATCATGTCTAGTCGTGCACTGAGAAAAAACTATGGCTTATAAACCTATTAGAGGTAAATATGGAACACCACTAATAGTAGTACCTCTACATATAATAATAGCACATATACCTTAGTTATGGTCTCTGTACCTTAATTAGGTACAGAGACCTTAGTATGGTTCACAGACCGAGAATCATTAGTTTATTTACGACTATTATAGGTGTTCCATATTTACCACTAATAGGTTTATAAACCATAGCTTTTTCTCAGTGTGGTCCATATTGGGTCAGTTGCGCTGGTCACAGAATCGTGTTAAGATGCTTAATTATTGCAGATCAACTAAAAATAATAAGATTTGTCCAAACAGCTTTCTACGCTGA